AGACCTGATTTTGGAAGGGAAAGACCTGATTTTGGAAGAAGATAGACTTGATTTTGGACCTGATCCGGCAAACCTCTCTCATCTATAGGAACTACTTGGGATTATCTCTTGCACCAGGCTTTGCACAATCTCTAGCCAAGGCTGGATACTTCCCCGCAGACGGTGCTTGCTGTTTTCGGCTACTAAGCAACTGAATTAACCCAAACCGCCACAAAACAGCCCCTGCCATCCTTTCTCCAAGAGCATGGTAGTCGAAGGATGGCTCCAGAGCCAAGGAAAGCAGAAGGATGGATGCCCAGCAAAGGCCTTGGACCAAGAGCCTCTCTCATCTCACAAGCGAGCAAGCCCCCAAGTTAAGAGACCTTTCCTCATTCCACTGCAACACATTAAAAGCAAGGACTGCAAGAACCGACTTGATACAAAAGTTATAAAATGGTCAAAGAAACAATTAAAACAGTTTCAAAAGGCATTATTAAAATGTAGCAAAGAGGGCAAAAGCATATCACACTCCGTTCAAAGAGTCTTCTGCCACAAAAAAAGTTAAAAGCAAACTGAATTTAAAATAAAAAAGTCTTTGCAAGGTGATAGAAAGAAAGCAGATGGAGGGTCAGTTGAGCTTCCCATGGAAAGGAGTATCACAATTTAGAAGCAGCCAATAATAATAATAATAATAATAATAATAATAATAATAATAATAATGGAAGGCACAGCCTTTTCAGTGGCTGTTCCCAAATTGGGAAACTTTCTCCTATGGGAAGCTCAGCTGGCCCACTGTATTATTATTATTATTATTATTATTATTATTATTATTATTATTATTATTATTATTATCTTTCCCACCTCTCCTCAAAGCTCAAGGTGGGGTACAGCATGTTAAAATGCAAAACACAATCAAAAACACATAAATACACAGTTAAAATATAATACTATAAAGTCACTAAAATATATCCCTAAAAATTCACATACATATGAAAAAGTCATGATTTAAAATTGATCATCTCATCACCAAAAAAAGCCTGTGAGGGTGGCAGGATGGAGAGAAAGCCCTGCCTATGAACTCTGCCTTGTCCAAGAACTACCCTCCCTGACAGAGGCTGCGTCCGCACTGCAGAAATAATCCGGTTTGGCACCGCTTTAACTGCCAGGGCTCCGTTTGAGCTTTGCTTCGGCATCACAGCAAAGCACGCTTCCCAGATTTCTACAGCATTGAACCATGGCAGTTGAAAACTGGATTATTTCTCGGACGCAGCCAGAGTTGGAAGGGACCCCCGAGGGTCATGTAGTCCATCCCTCTTGAGCCGTGGGGAGATGCCACCCATCTTCTGCACTGACCAGGAGCCTCACCTTGGGCAAGGAGCTGCAGACGCCCACGACCACGTTGCACACGCGCTTTGGCCGCTCACTCCTGCTCTCGGTGACCCTCACTAGCCGCGGTGGCTCTGGTCCTGAGGCATCCTCCTGGCCCCGAGCCGCTCGCCCTTGCAGCTTCTCCTCCTGAAACGTAAAACAGAACGGAAAGCTGAAGGCGAGGAAAGCAGCCCAGAAACCATGGTGAGGAAGGCGGCTTCCTCTGTCGAGCGGAAGATGCATCATGACTCGCACTGGCCTCCCGTCGCATCGGCAGCTGTCACAGATTTGGGGGTGTAAGGGACTTTGGGGACAAAGGCAACAAGAGGACTGGGCTGTGGGTGGCCCACAGGCAAGGAGCCATGCTCTGCACACAAGAACAGCCAAGCACACACCTGTTCCAGGTGCGTTCAGCACCAGTTGCCTTTTCTAGAAAGCAACTGTCCACAGTGGGCCTTTGGCATCTGCTGGGGTTTGCTTCCAGGACCCTCCGTGGAGAGCAAAATCTGGGGGTGCCCAAGTCCCTTTAAATACAATGAGGCATTATTATTATTGTTATTGTTATTATTATTACTCTACAATGGGCCCTTAGTATCCACTGGGGTTTGGTTCCAGGATCCTCTATGGATAGCAAAATCTGTGGATGCTAAAGTCCCATTAAATACAGTAGCATTGTAAAGTGGTATCCCTTATACAAAATGGCAAAAGTCATGGATGCCTGTACTTGGACTAATGGTTGGTGATATAATATAGATAATGCTTCCCTATGGCATACGATGTGGAGCCAGCGTGGTGTAATGGTTTGAGCATTGGATTAGGATGCTGGAGGCCAGGGTTCGAATGCCAACTTGGCCATGTAAACCCACTGGGTGACCTTGGGCAAGTCACACTGTCTCAGCCTCAGAGGTAGGCCATGGCAAATCTCCTCTGAACAAACCTTGCCAAGAAAAACCCTTGATAAGTTCATGTTAGGGTTGTCATAAGTCGGAAATGACTTGAAAGCACACAACAACAACAGCAACAACAAAGAGAAGGAGCTAGAAAGAGAGGGAATGGGCAATAGTCACCATGCTGGGAGGGCTTGCATGAATATTATTCAACCGGCCTCAGCAAAATGTCACGGCTGTTTCGGACCGTGAGGCAGATTCTGATTTTTTGGAGAGCATTGCTTGCCTCTTTGATGAGGAAGGCGGAGGACGATGGGAAGAGGAGTGCGGCTTGGATATCATTATCGGAGGCCAGAGACAATAGCTGTCTGCACTGCCCTCCAGCGACCAGAATTGCAAACCTCTTTCCAGCGGAACATTGTTTTGTGCTTCCAAGTGGACTCCAGCTTAGAGAAACCCTCTCCAAGAAGTTTATCACACAGGAGGCTAAGTGCCCAAATCCCATGCAGAAGCTGGATTTTAAATTCCAGGAATATCCCACAAAAGTGGGACTGTTTTCAGACACTTTGGGGGCATTCAGCATTAATGTAACACTAATCCACACAGAAAGTGGACAAAATTGGCCGCTTTTTAATTTCGGAAAAATCCCAAAAGTAAAAAGCGGCCAATTTTATCCACTTTCTGTGTGGGTTAATGTCGGATTAATGCTTAATGCATTTGAGAACAATCCCGCTTTTGTGGAATGAAATCCCGTTTCTGCACGGGATTTGGACGATTCCCTCCCATGTGATAAACTCCCTAGGATTTCCCCATGAATGAAAAGTGGTGTGATTTTTCCGCTTTATTCGTGGGATAATGGTGCGATCGTGCGACAATCATCCCATCATTGTACAATATTGACGGGAGCATCGCGCTATTATCCTGTCCCTTTTGCCCGAGTGATAAAGTCCTTAGATGCTTTTCCTAAGACCAAGGTACTGAGCTGCAGACTCAGGTGTGATGGCCATTTTGCTCTTCGCTCTCTTGCCTTTCTCCCTGCATGGAAGGTACTCCCTTGGGCTGTGGGCAATGTCCTCCGTCCTCCACCTGGAGCAGGGCCCTTCTCACCTGCAAGGCCTGAGGGTTGTGGTCCTGGTTTTCTGGGCAGCCCTTTGGGCCAGCGTTGTCCTGAGTCTTGGGCAGAGGAGCATCCTCCAGAGATGGCCTCCCATCCTTCTTGCAGATGGAGAGCAGGCTCAGCTCATAACACTCCTGGATATCTGAAAGAAAGTTCAGGAAGCAACATCCATGGAAAACCAACCAAAGCTGCTTCAGGAGATTAAGGTCGCCCTTCTCTCTTTGGCAGATGAATCCATTGGCCTAACACAGATGGACGCCAAGCCCTGGAGGATGGAGACAACCTCCGGAGCAAATGCCAGTTTGATATTCATGCAATAATATTATGTTCAGCAATGTGCTATCCCATTCATGCAATAATATCCTATTCAGGGATCTGCTATCCCATTCATGCAATAATATTCTATTCAGGGATGTGTTATGCCATTAATGCAATAATATTCTATTCACTTTCTGAGACAGCAGCTTCTTCCACTCTGGAATGCTTTTGCAGTCAAGCTCTTCCCAATGTTTAGGTGGAATCTCTTTTCTTGTCATTTGAATTTAGTTTATATCCTAACCACTGGAGAAGCAGGGGAAGGGGGGGGGAAGCTTGCTTTATCTTCTACAAGACATTCCTTCAAATATTTAAACATGTCAGGGACCCCAGAAAGGGGGGAGATGGGGGGCTTGAGCCTTTCAAGGCAGATCTGGCAAAACTGGACCACCAAGACTCTTAGGTAGTAGAGACCCTTCCAGAATTATTAACCAGAAGTGTACAAAATAATAAAGGACTACTCAGCCATGGAAATCCACTTGGGAAAGTCACACTCTCTCAGCCTCAGAGGACTGCAATGGCAACTCCTCCCTCTGAAGAAACATGCCAAGAAAAAACCCAAGATAGGATCACTTTTGTTGTGTGCCTTCTAGTCATTTCCGATTTATGGCGACCCTATCATGGCATTTTCTTGGCAAGATTTGCTCAGAGGAGCTTTGCTATTGCCTTCCCCTGAGGCTGAGAGAGTATGACTTACCCAGGGTCACTCAGTGGGTTTCATGGCTGAGCTGGGAATCGAACCCTGGTCTCCAGAGTCATAGTCCGACACAAAACCATTACACCACGCTGGCTCTCCAGGGTCACCTTAGGGTACCCCTAAGTCCAAAAAGACTTGAAAACACACAACAACAGGAAAATTGCAGTGGGCTGTTGTCATTGAGCCCTCCTAGCAAGGAAAACGAGTGCTGGCATGGTGTAGTGGTTTGAGTTAAACCCACTGGGTGACCTTGGGCAAGTCACACACTCTCAGCCTCAGGGGAAGGCAATGGTCAAGCTCCTCTGACAAATCCTGTCCAGAAAACCCCAGGATAGGGTCCCCATAAGTCCTTAGGGTCTCCATAAGTTGGAAGCGACTCAAAGGCACACAGCAAGGCAACAAAAGCAAGGATAATGCCTGTCTGCCATCTATCCTAGCCATGCTCTCTTGGAAGCAAGCTCCACTGAAGCCCTGGAGAGGGAACTGAAGGATGTTTGCAAAAGAAAGGAGGAGGGAAAAGGTATTATTTCTTCCGCTGAGAAAGTACTGGACTTGCAAGGAGGCAAAGTTCAAACTAACCCAGCCAGGAAAAAGTGGGGAGGGAAGACTAAGGGAGAAACGAAGAAGGGAGGAGGAGAGGCCCAGGCTCTCCTTCTGTTTGCAAGGCCAGGGAGCGTCCCACATTCCTGGGGAGCAGGAGGGACAAAAAAAGTTGCACCCCCCATCATCCTGCTCACTTTTGCAATGGAAAACTTCAGGCTCTTTCATGCAGCCAGATAGATCCCTTTGCAGAGACCAAAGAAAGGAAAGGTCTGCTTCCTTGCAAAGTCCACCTACACCATGCAGCTTCTTCCCTTCCAGACTCCCCTCCATATTCTCTTTTTGACTCTGTGGGAAAAGGCTGCTCTCTTTTTCCTCCTGGAAGATGTCCTCAACTTGTTAAAAACAGAGAGAGAAAGAGAGACCAAAAATCTCTTTGCAAAATCTATCCCCTTCCCAGGATTTCTGGAGAACGAACCTTTTTGGAGAGCTGTTGCAAAAGACCTTTTAAGACGGAGGAGGGCAGATTTGCTTGGGCATGAGCTTTCGGGGATTATGGTCCCCTTGGCCAGTCAGATGACCATCTTTCTCCCTGCCAGGACGCTTGTGTAATAACCAACACTTTTGTTCGCGGCCGGGGTTAATAATACAACGGTCCCCTCCAGGACTTTTCCTCGGCATCCGGTTGCTCTCTGTGCCAGCATTCCAGCCATGTTTACACTCTGGATATCCGCATCTGAAAACGCTTGAGATCATACTCCATTTTTGGGAGAAAGGGAATGGCAACCCACAAGAATTTACGCCGGAATAATGTTTTCAAAGAGCCAAGCCTGACAAATCTATTCTTTTCCTCCCAACAGCGTCTTTGGCTTCACCAATTTGGAATCTTAAAATAGAAGCAAAAGATGTTTGCGGAGTTCTTTGTTTGCTGCCCCTCTCTTTTTAGCAGAGTTTGGGGGAAATTACTTTGGGGGACTACAACTCTGAAAAATTTCCCCAGCCAGCATGGCCACTGGGAAAGACTCCGTTTTCTCTGTCAATTAAATGAAACATTGCAGAAATAATCTGGTTTGGCACCACTTTAACTGCCTTGGCTCAATGCTACTGAATTCTAGGAACTGTAGTTTTGTGAGACATTTAAGCCTTCTCTGTCAGAGAGCTCTGGTGCCACAACAAACTCCAAATCCCAGGATTCCTTAGCTTCGAGCCAGGGCAGTTAAAGTGGTGCCAAACCGGATTATTCCTGCGGTGCGGATGCAGTCAGAGAAGGCTGAATATCTCACAAAACTACAATTGCCAGAATCCCATAGCTAGAATCCATACAATTGCCAGAATCCCAGTTAAAAGTGGTGTCAAACTGCATTATTTCTGCAATGCGGATGCACTCTCAGTTAGCTGATCTGTTCCCGGTTTTAGTTTGAACTGTCAAGGATCTCTCCAAAGTGCTGAAACCTATCCCAAAGAGACCCAGGGCCTCTGAAAGCTTCTTTAGAGTTCAGATTCTGACCCAGACATGGATTCCCCAGCCCTGTGCTACTGGAACCAGTACCTTTCCCCAGTGAAACTCTGCCACAGATCCAGAGGTGCCAACCCCAAAACAGTGCCAAGTCATCGCTCTCTGCAATGCAAGCCATCCTTACCCAGCAATGCCTGGAAGAGTTCGCTCTGGAAGATGTGAAGCACTTTCTCGATGGAGATTTGCAAAGGCTGTTCTGCCGGGGAACGCAAGGCGCCCTGGTACCGAGCGAGGATCTCCGCCGCCCGCCGCGTGTCTGCCAAGGCAAGACCCAGGGATATAGTCAAGTCTCAAGTCAATACCTTCAAGTCTCAAGCTCTTGCAAGATACTTTCAAGTCAAGTCCAGGAGTCAGCTTTAACAGAAATAAAGGAGGAGGGCTGCATTTTTTTGGAGGGAACAGCCGGTGCATTCAGCCATGGGCTTGGAAGCCTGTCCTTGCTGCCTTCCAAAGCTTTGCAAAAGTTTTAGATGGATCCTTTCTCCTCATGCCCATTGCCTAAGACATTTGCTGTTCCCTTCCAAGCAACGTGCCCCACACTTTGGGAGCAAAGCGAATGTCGCCAGCAAGTCGGTCACCAAAAATATGCAAGTTTCAAGTCAAGCCCACCGGTCACTTTTGCCAAGTCAAGTCCAAGTCAAGTTCTGGAAGCGACTTGAATATGACCTAAGTCTGAGTCAGTTGACTTGAGTCTACATCCCTGGGAAGACCAGAGCTTAAAAGCATGTGTCCAGGTGTGTCCAAGTGTCCAGGCAACCCTAACCCAGAAGGGCCTTTTTGGGGGGTTGCACCCAAACACTTGAATACATCCCTTCCTTCCAAATCAAAGTACTGGATATGATCTATAAAGCCTCATACAGGTTGAGTCTCCCTTAGCTGAAATGCTCGGGACCAGAAGCATTTGGGATTCTGGAGTTTTT